CTATCGTGGGTGCGTGTGTGTGCGCGCACGCACACACACACACACACACACACACACACACACACACACACACACACACACACACACGAGGCTGGAATAGGATTTTCACTTACTATTGTTTTTGTTTTTGCTGGTTGCCTTCCTGCCTCTAACATACAGCTGTGGATCTCTCCCCCATTTTCTGTCCTCTGCTGTCTGATTGGTCTCCAGCGCGCTGGCTGTGTGACCTTGGCAACTGTCCCCATCTCCCTAGCAACTGTCTCCCACCCCTGGCCCACATGAGTAGCATCTCAAGTCCCCTGCATTGTCGGTCTGTGCAGGGCTTCAGTAAGAGAAGGACCGTGCCTGCCCTGGGAATGTCACCATTGCTTCCTAGGGTGGCGGAAGCTAGCTGGGTGTTTCAGGAGCCCAGACACAGCCTGTAGGGCTGTAGAGGGTGTGAGATGCGAGCAGGAGGGGCAGCTGGACCATGCCAGGCCTGCGGTCACCCAGACAAGGCGGCTCTGAGCGGCAGACCCGGAGTGGATTTCTGAAGTCTTGGCGCCACCTGGTGGCCACAGATGGAATCGACTAGTGGGCTAGTGCGGTTAGGGAGCTGGGGGGGTGGTCACACCAAGGTGGGGCCGTGGAGGATTCTGGGCTTAATCAGAGATGGGGGTGGGGCAGAGGTGTAGAGATGACACGTTTGTTTAGTGGGCTGGATGTGGGGGCTCCAGCCCAGAATGCTAATGTGAGCAGCTCAGGGCCAACTCAATATCCTGAGATGGGAAGAATGGGGTGGAGGGGGAGACAGGCAGAGGCTGATTAAAGAGGAGTCAGGTGAATGGAAGCCATGGGGAAGAGGTGGTGCACAAGCCAGGGGCCTGGATGACAGTGAAGCTCAGCAGAGAAGCTGGCTTGTCTGTAAGCATGGTCTCAGTTAAGACCTACAACAACCAGGCAGGGGACAGGAGTCTGCACAGAGACACCGCTCATGGCTGCTGAAATGTCAAGACTCTGTGCTCTCTGGATGTCTTGTGTCTCCTTGTCTCTGTCCCTTGCCCTTCTGAGCCTACTGATGGGCCTCTGGCCCTCTCACCCCCCCCCCCCACCAGGAGGGCATCCTGGCCGTCTCACCTGTGGACTTGACCTTGCCCTTGGATTGACATCTTCCTCAGAAGCTGCTAGAAGATGGGACTTCACCTCTACTCTCCTTGCTTGCTGTGCCGAGCTCTCTTCTTTCCACTCAGGGCTGGGGGAAGGGGGTGTTGGGGGAGGCTGCCCTACCTGTTTGCCAAAAAAGATTGCATTGGAAGAATGTTTCATATTTTCATATTAAAATGTTTTTAAAGTACTGCTTCTTTCTCACAAGAACTCATGTTTGGATTGTTTATTCTTGCTTCCTTCCCTATGGTGCCCCAAGTATTAGCTAGAGCCTCAAGCTTGCTAGGCAAACTGGAGTTCTGCACCTAAGCCACCTGCCCTTATGTTTTTGTTTTTTCCTCCTAGACCTTATTTATGTCAGTCATGGGGCTGGAACTCTGGACCTAGTTGCTGTCCCTCAACTCTTCAGCTCAAGGCGAGTGCTCTACCACTTGAGCCACAGTGCCACTTCTGGTTTTCTGGTGGGTCACTGGAGATGAGAATCTCACGGATTTTCCTGCTGGGCTGGCTTTGAACCACGATTCTCAGATCTCAGCCTCCTGAGTAGCTAGGATGACAAGCGTGAGCCACCTGCGCCCTGCTATGATTCTTATTTATAACTGTATAAGCCCTTAGTTGTACAAGGGGTGTTTCATTGTGACATTTCAAAAATGTATACAATGTGTCCTGATCAAGCTCCAGGGTTACTGTCCCTTCTCCCTTCTTGAAAAGAGTTTCAGGAGTGTTCATCCTTCCATTTTCCTACAAGCAAACCTGCTACATGGATGGGGTCCTGCCCTTCTCCCTTTGGCATCGCCCTTCCCCCTCCCACCGGTGCCACCATTATAGTTTCAAGCCTTAACATTGTCAATGGAAAATATTAGTTCAGAGAGCTCTGGTTTGCTAGTTGGCTTATTCACTCTTTGTTTGTTTTTGAGACAGCTACTACATAGCTAAATCTGGCTTGGAACTTGTGATTCTACTCTCTTCACTCCCAATGTCTGGTATTATAGGTGTGCAGCATCACATCCACTGATCTCTGATCTCTGGTGTGTGTGTGTGTACATATGTGCACTTGTATTCTGGGGTTTGAGCTTGGACTAAGCACTGTTCCTGAATTTTTTGGGGGGTCAGTTGTGGGGCCTGAACTCTGAGCTCGGGAGCTGTCCCTCAGCTCTTCAGCTCAAGGCTAGAGTTCTACCACTTGAGCCACAGTGCCACTTCCTGCTTTTTCTGCTTATGTGGTGCTGAGGAATCGAACCCAGGGCCTCATGCATGCAAGGCAAGAACTCTACCTCTGAGCCACCTTCCCAGGACCACCAGTAGCTCCTCACTGCAGGATTTTTTAAATAAATTGAACAGGAAATGGTGATTACTTAGGTGTTTGTTTCAAATTCCATGACATAATGGGTATGTGAAATTATATGCAAATTTTGTCTTCAAAATTTAAAGTTGATTTGCTAAGAACAATGTTTTTAGACTTCCAGTGATCAAAGTAGCTATTGCTGGGTGTTGGCTCATGCCTGTTATCTTAATATTATAGGCATGATTAGGAGTATAGCCACATAAACCTAGACTTTTTTTTTGTCAGTTGCTGGGCTTTAACTCAGGACCTGGGCACCATCCCTGAGCCTTTTTATGCTCAAAGTTAGCGCTCTACCACGTGAGCCACAGAGCCACTTCCAGCTTCTGAGTGGTTAACTGAAGGTAAAGTCTTGCAGGGCCTGGGCTGGCTTTGAACTGTGATCCTCAGATCTCAGCCTCTTGAGTGATTAGAATTACAGGCATGAGCCACCCACATTCAAACCCTAGAGACTCATATCCAATTAATCAGCAAAAGGGGGAAAAAAAAAAAAAGGAAGGCTTGGCTCAAGTACTAGAGCCCCAGCTTTGAGAGAAGCTGAGCAGAGTTGAAGTGCTGATACCAGCACACACACACACATTAAAACAGCCAAGCACTGGGGGCTCACACCTGTAATCCCAGCTACTCAAGAGGCTGAGATCTGAGGACCACAGTTCAAAGCCAGGCCGGGCAGGAAGGTCCATGAGACTCATCTCCAATTAACCACCAGAAAACTATAGAGACTGGAGGCCGAGGAGTCTGGTGGACCTACTAAGTTAGGAACAGAATAAAGGTGGCACTTGGGACTGACAGGCGGTGGGAAAGACCCTGTGGCCCAGCTGGTGGCTAGGAGGGGCTGTTCTTATTTGGGGACCCGGGAAGGGGATCGTCCCTGGGAGAAGTGACAATAGAGGGCCAGGCAGAGAGCTAATAAGAAGTCACCGTGGCTCACGCCTGTAACCCTAGCAACTCAGGAAGCCAAGATCTGAAAACTGCAGTTGGAAGCCAGCCGAGGGCAGAAAAGTCCCCCGCGAGACTAACCTCCAACAAACTACCCAAAAAAGCCCCAACTGGCGCTGTGGCCCAAGTGGTAGAGCGCCAGCCGTAAGCACAAAGAGGCTCAGGGACAGCACCCAGGCCCTGAGTTCAAGCCCCAGGACCAGCAAAAACAAACAAAAAAGTCACATTGGGAAATCTTCAAGTCTACTAGGAAAGCAGGTTAGGCCCCGACCCAGGGCTCGCTCGGGGAACGGAGAGGACCCCACGTTTCCACCGAGGACAGCATTGGGGAAGGGCCAGGTTAGCGCTCAGCTTCCCGAGGGAGGCGGCACGTGAGCTGCAGCCGTCTGACTGTGGGGATTGAGCAGACAAAGGGAGGTGGGCGTTCCCGGACGGGGGCGGTGCCTGGGAGAGGCCACGGCGCACCGCGGGGGAGGGGGGAGACGGGGCTTAAACACTTGGACAGTTGGATTCAGGGCTGGAAGCTAAATACATTTCCTCCGTATTCCTCATCCTGGCTTATTTCAGGACCCCAGAGAATCCCGTCCTTTCTCTCTCCCACTCAGCGTTTGAGTTTATTCCCCATTAGATAAATAGACACTGCCGCCCTTGTTCCTCCCGGACACCCCCCTCGGTCTGGAAGAATCCACCGAATAGACGATGAGTGACAACCACCTCAAGCCAATCGCTGGTTCCTTTGCCCTCTCCGTGCTCCAATGGCCCTTAGTCTTCTTAAGGCAAGTGGCTTAGGGAGGGCTGGCCAAAGGCTTCTATACGTCATCTTCTGTAAACCAATAGCAGCGACTCGGAGGCGGGTCGCTTTGATGATGGATAGCTCTGTTTCAAGAGATTCACTGAGCGCGGAGCCCGTCGGGAAGCTTTAAGGCGGAGCTGACGGGGAAAGAGGCGGGAACCTCTGGATGCTTTTGCCCAATCAGAAGATGCGCTTCCCAAGATAGGCAGGCAGTTGTTCCCATCCCAGTCGACGAGAGGGGGCGGGGCCCTGTTGGTCAGGATGGGCGCCCCCTGACGTTTGATGGGCGTCCAAATCATCCAATTGCTACATGACATTTTCAATCCGGCTGCTTCTATTGCCAATGAGAACTTCTGGCGGGGTTGTGGTGGGCGGGCCGTGGACCCTCCGGTATAAGGCGGTCCCGTGGGGGGGAGTGAAGAGAAAGGGGGGGGTCTCAGCCGCCGGAGGAGGAGTAGGTTCGGGTGAAGATGGCGGCAGCCGAGGCCGCGAACTGCATCATGGAGGTGAGCGCCTGGAGTGCCATAGGGGCGCGGGGCCGGCCTGGGCCGCAGGTTTTATGCCTCGGCGGTGGAGGGGGGGTGGTCTCCGAGTGGGTAAACTGGGGCTGAAAGCCCCCTAGCCGTACCGATGTTTCGCCGCATGCTCTGGATCCGTGGATACCATTTGAGAGGGGGTCCCTGGCGATTCGCGGCCCTGGGCACCCGGGCGAGCCGAAGGTCCTGCCCCCTCCCACGTGGAGGTGGTCTGGGGGCGCTTCCGGCCGGGCCCCCACGTGGCCGCGGCGCGGTGGGTGGGGAGGGGGTGTGCCGATCTCCGTGGCCCGGCGGGCTCCACGTGCGGGACAAAGGCCCCGCCCCCGATCGGGGGAGGGGCGCCGGGGCGGGAGGAGGCTCCGACCCTCCCTCTTCGACCCCCCCCACCCGTGTTCTCCTGGGGGAGAATCGGGACGCACTCCGTGGGCAGGATTTACCTGGTGCCACACGACGTCGGGGGTTTCGTGGGAGGGGCACTGCTTCTGGGCCCTCTCAAACCCTCCGCTTCCTGGGTCTGGGGGCGTCTGCTGGGGCGCGGGTTCGGGTTTCAGGCACTCTTTGAGTTTGGGATGGGAAGGAAATAAAGATGTGGTCGGCCCTCCTCGCGTCCCTTTCTGGAGTCTGGTTTCTTCCCCACCCGGAGCTTTAGGAGCTGGGGTGGGGTGGGGGCTCGCCTGCCCCCCGGTGACCTCCCTTTGGGTAGTGGGGTACATCTCGACAAATGAGATCCATGCCAGTAAGGCGCCGCACACCCCCTTGTGGCCACTTCTGGGGGTGTAGGAGGGGCATCTTTTTCATGGGGCGTGGCTGGAAGCCCACCTCCTCATCGGAGCCCACTCCAGTGGGCAGAGAGGCCCACTGGGTTAAATAATAAGCCCTGGAGCCCTTTCCCCCAGCATCGGTGAGGGTGGGGACCTGATCCGGTCGCCCCTTTCCTGGAGGGCTTCTGGTGCGCAGCCGCGTGGGGGAGGTTCCACTCTTGAGCTGCAAACTCTCTTGGGATGGGGGCGTCTGGTGGAATCTGAGGTGTTGGAGAAATAGGTCCCCGTGGGACATCCCCGCGTCTGCCACCCTAGTTCCGGGCTGCATCTCAGTGATCTGGGGGAATTGGAGGGAAGGGTTTGGTGTCCAGCGGGTCAATATGACCTGTGGTTTGACCCGGTGAAAGCAAAGCACGAAAGGTTGGGGACAGTGGAAAAGATACAGCCCCGTCCTTGCAAGTCTGGAGGGCGGGGGGAGGTCAGTCGTCCCTCTTGGGGTCACTGCATTGAGTCTCCCCTCCCCTCCATCCATTCCCCTTGGTTCTCCTGAACCAGGGGCTGAGGCTTCTGGACCTAGGATGGTGGTTTGGGTGGGAGTGTGGGGCTCTGGTTCCCTCTGCCCTGCACCCCAGGGTCCTTCTGGATCCTCATTGCTCAGAAGCTTCAGGGACTGGCCAGATTGTCTCCCTGTGACATGACCCTCCTAGGAGGGGGGGAGGCAGGAGATGGTGCTAGCG